ACCACACAACAAGTAACGCCGTTAGTAACGCTGTTACTTGTAATGCCGTTATTCCCATAACTGGTAGTTTTGATGTTTTTACTGCATGAGTAGTCTATCAAATTAAGTAATCTACGTGGGGGTTTTTTTATTATTTTTTTGGGGGGGCCGCCTGGCCCGTTTGGTTCTTTTGCCATCAGAATTATTGTCTGAAGGCAAAGAGATAAGCCCACCATCCCTGCCTTGCAGTATTGGTCCATTTGATTGACTTTTGTTGTTATTATTTATTTATTTTATTTTATTTTCAGTTGTTACAGACGGGACAGACATGACCGGGGAGAGGGGGGGAAACAAAGACAGCGGGGAAGAGGAATAGTGATGAAGGGCAAAGAAAAGAGAAAAGAAAAGGGGTGGGGGGGGGAATACATATTTTTATATATATCACCTGTTGAGAGAAAAAAAAGAGAAAACAAAAAGTATAAACATATAAGCAAAACAAAAAGTAAAAGTATAAACAAGTATAGAGAAGTATAAACAATGCGGTTACATTTAGACTTAATTTTTTTTACTATAAGTATGGACATGGAAACAAGTGAACAACATTTTGAAATAAGTTTAATTGGAATTCTGTACACTGAAAACAACAACAACCAAACAACACATAAAAAACACAAACAAACAGCCAGTGCCTTCATCTGTCCATTAAATGTCAAACATCACATCAACCCGTAGTCCCTGCTCATCACCACATGCTTTTAAAAAGAGCTCTATTCCTCTGCAAACTGTGTTTGAATGCCCCCTCATCATGTGAGCCTTTAAGGTTTTTTTTAAGAAGACTAAGACCACAGTGAGGGCATTTCATTTTTATGGGCTTTCCATAAGCCGCAGTTTCATTTAGCACAGAGGGTAGAGCACATGAATGTTCTACTGAAGATTCAGAAAATGGTTTAGATACTGGAGAAAAGACATCGAGAGTGCAGCGGGAAGATGACGAGGCTCCTTGGAGAGTTCAGTGGGGAGCAGTCCTGATAGTGGTGGCTGACTTGGCATTGAAGAATGCTGACATGACAATAAATGTCTTGCCCCACGCTGTATGATTGTCATGTTACAGACAGAGCAGTGAGAGTGTCCTGTCGTCCTACATGGCAGCCTGCACCGGCATAGAAGAAGAAGCTGCAGAAGTGCTGAAAAGAAGTGCACATTTATAACTTTAACTATGAGGTATATTTAATACCAACATAACTTTGAAAGGCAAAGCCTTTTTAATGTGTCCATTTATATCTTTGCCCTGACAGTAGGGCTGAAAGTGGGGCAGAGAGGGCAGTGAAAGAGTCTTCTGCAACATGTTGTGCATTCCTGCAATTCTGGCTTTGATATGTGCATCTAAAACAGGGAGAAAAACAGATAAACACCATATACACATTTAAGTTCAGGTTTTAGCAGAAATAACATGTTACAGTTGGCATGTAAGAAATTTGGGGAGAAAATTCTTTACAAAAACATAATTTACAAGACACTTTTATTTGTGACATACGTATCTATTGACATATAACAGACAATTTAACAAAGGCTAACTAAAATCTGGGCAATAAAAAAGCAGAACAGAATGTAATAGAGAATATTAGTATTTATAAATATATAAATCTCTTTGTGACGAACTTTACAATGTTGATACAGGTGGAAGGAAAGACATGAAGTGCAATATGCAGTAAATGGAACAATGTGCATTGATGTTACAGATAGTTAAAAGTAGTGAAGGGAATTTGTTCAATAACAAGCAAAAAACAAATATGTTTGAAAGGGACCACTAAATGCTAACCAGAGGTGTCACAAGTACACACGTTCCTTACTAAAGTTTAGATACGTCGGGGGTCTGACCGTTGTTGTAACGCTAACAAAGTGCCAACATAATCAGTGCAAACAAACTAGATGACTCCTAGAATTATGAAATTATCAATGGCAAAATTATATATGAAAGACTCTGTCTCAACCTTATGATCCACTTGCAAGGTTTCCACTGTATCCACGCAGGGAACGTATTTGCGCCTACTGTGGAGGTCACGTGTTTCCGGTTACTATGGAGGTCGCAATATGGCGCTCCCCAGTGGCTGCAGCCAGACCCTCCTCGTTAATTCTGCTATGTAAATCTGTATGCATTACTGTAGGGTTTACCTTACAATATAAAGCCCCTTGAGGGGACTGTTGTTGTGATTCGGCGCTGTATAAGAAGATGAAGATATTATTCTTCATACAATCTGCATAAGCACCACTGAAACAAAAACCAGGAGAAAGAAACATTCATCCATCCATTCGTTTCCGCTTATCTTTTTCAGGGTCGCGGGGGGCACTGGAGCCTGCAGCTGTCATAGGGCGAGAGGCGGGGTATACCATGGACAGGTCGCCAGTTTGTCGCAGGGCTGACACACAGGTACAGACAACCATTCACACTCACATTCACTCCCGCATTCACACCTATGGGCAATTTAAACTAATCAATTAACCTATCCCCAAAAAGAAACAGATAAACGAATTCACATAGGAAAATGTTCATAAATCACTGATTTATGTGAAACATTTGTTTGTACAATTTTTACTTTGTGGGGAAGGACTGTTTGTAAATGATGAGCACTGGTGGCAGTACGCTGATGGGTCTTTTTGTGAGCTGAGCCATCACAAAGCCTCTGCAACATGGCCAAAGTGTTCTTTATTTTTTTTCAGGAAGATTCTGTTTTTTTAGAGTGCCTCTCACAGCTAACGTCTAATGTTAGGGGCATGAAGGAATTTAAAATTGAGAGAAAAATGAAGGGATAAAATTATCACGGCTTCACACTGTAAAGTGTACAAAAAGTACTTCATAACTTTTTTT